ACGCAGCTATCTGTGTTCAGAGCGTTTTGAGTCCGTGTTTTTTTTCTCTCTCCCTCTGCTCCTGAGTCCTGTCTATCGGTGAAACTTCCTCTGATCTGTCGCTTTGAGACATTATATTATTGGGGTCGCTATTCATTGCGTACAGAGTAGCTACACGGTTGAAGGAGAGACACAGCAGCTTCTCTGTCAAATTCTGGGTCCTACGTTCTGAGCTTGTGACACTTTCTCATACCTTTATTTTTTCCACCTTTATATTTTTTATTAAAAAAACAAAAAAGTGTATGGGTTTTTTCTCTTTCTGTCCCTTTCAGCAGCCACTGACTGGTGAGTTACAGGCTGAGAGGTTAACAGATTGTAGAAATATCTGTGATTTTCAAAGAACTAAAGTGCAGGTAAGTTCCAAAAAATAAGAGTGTGAAACGGAAATTAGCATGTGTTAACTTCCCCGAGCTGCAAGGCTCATTCAACATTAACTTTACCAGGCCATTTCATTTTCATCATCTCATCTCGCTGTTTCTTCTTCTAATTTCTGCACCTGACTCTTGATTCTGTTTCCAAGCACAAGTTTTGCATAATCAAAAAGTACTGGCAGGTAGGGAAAGCGGCACCACAGGGAAGCCTGGAGAGCTCTACATTTTTCCTTGGCATGTTATTTTGTTTTGTATTGCTTATCTAATAACAAGCTTTACAACCTCTTATTTTTAATATTTTTTATTATTAGTGCTTTGATGCATTTCCTTAGCCTGATGTTTTTGTTGGCTCTCTCCCAGGCTCTTAGTGCCTTACTAACAGTTTGTGATTCTAGGGGGTGATGTGCCAAAGCAGTGCCAGACCTTTATGCAGGTAATCCTGCTTCATGCTACAGGAGTCTGATAGAATCTATCCAAAAATATACACTGCAATTTTTTTTATCTATAGTAATTGTGGTATTTAACCAATTAAAAATCATGAATAGCCTTTTCCTGTATTTATAACAACATGTTTTATAAAGCATAAAACAAAACTATGAATATATTTAAATGAAGAAAGACAGGAGAATTGAAGTCACTTGCATAATTTTATTGAATCAGCTGATAAACGAACTCCAGAAAGTTTGTTATACTTTATAGGAGACTTTGTAATTATTTAAAGGAATCTGGTTATATATATATCTCACATTTTTGAGTAAAGGTTTTCACTGCAGTGTGAAGCGCCGCTTTCTTCGAAGATGTCCAGCAGGCGTGGTGCACTCTGTGTGGCCGCAGCCGCACTCCTCAATGTGCTCATAGGTGAACTGGACGTGCCCGCCATTTTCACACGCCAGATCGATGGTGCGATTGTTGAGGCGTTTCTCTTTACAACAGGAGCAGGAATGTTCCATAGCACCTGCTGCTTCAGAGTACCTGAAATAAAAAGGAGCAGAGATTAGCACATTCACAACCTCAGAAACAGTTTAGTACAGTTTGGTGACTTCTTAGAGGAAGACAAGCTAGACGTAAAGTCATCCTTACTTGCTGAAAGTGTTGCACGATCCTTCGCAGTACGGCATATCGACCTCTGCTTGACAGCCATTGTGGTTAATAGAAGTTTTAACAGTCTCCAACCTGCAGGCTTTCTCTTTCTCTACACCTTTTAAAATGTGAAACGAAGGAAAAACCTAAGTTTGTGTTGCTTATTTAATCTGATTTCATCTAAAGGTAAAACATATATATTTACTTACAGATTTTACAGCAGCCGTTTGCTGCAGTCTGAATTGTGTCCTGTACAGAAAACAGCACAACAACAAAAGTTGGAACTAATTTCTTTATGGTGCACTGCAAAAATTATCTAAAAGCAGGTAAGCAGGTTGAGCAGGTAAATAGATTGATCTGCCAATCTGCCAGAGTATCTTCACTCTAAAATAAGATTATATATATATATATATATATATATATATATATATATATATATATATATATATATATATATATATATATATATATATATATATATATATATATATATATATATATAAATATTTTTTTTACAGTATCCCGTCTGGCAACGTGACAATAAGACCATTTTAAATGAAAATTATAATTGAATATTAGTAAAGAAATATTATAAAAAAGAAAAAAAAAAATAATAAGATAACATGCACTTGAAATAAGGCAATGCAATTGCTTTTTCTTATTTTAAATGTAAATTGTCTTGTTCCATTGGCAGTAAGTGTCTCACTTACCTCTTCAATTCAAGAAAAATTAACTTATTTTAAGAAAAAATTACTTGTTTAGATGTAAATTATTTGCAGTGTATATTCCAGGTTTATGTATTAAAGTTGCCACATACCTTTTTGCAGTTGCTCTCTTGGAAGAACGGGCAAACGATTTTAGAGCTGATGACTGTAAAAGACTCTCCGCTCTTCACGCAGGTTTTACTCTCACACTTATTTTCAGGAGGCGACCAGGTTTCGTCAACCTTAAAATCATCAAAATACACATGGTGTTTTTAGAAAATAAAACAAATGAACAGGTGAAAGAGATTAATTCAGTTTACCTTTAAAGGTGTTGTAGAACCATTAACATTGATCACGCAGTGTGTTTGCACACACGCCCCACAGCAGTCAGCTGGGTTGGTTTTCACATATTCAAATCCCTGAGATAAAGACAATAATAAATTAAATCCATATGGCCAAATGAAAATAGATTTCCTTCAATTTTGACTTCTTTCATGTTTTCTTTCAGAAGTTAAAGTATTCTATTTTAAAAGTTATGCAATGCATTAAGAAGAAATTGGTCTCATTTCAACCTGAAAAATTTGCACAGAAAGAAAAGACAGAAGAATTTTATTGATACAATTACTTTAGTCTTTGGCGCTCAGACCTCGGCACAAAACATTTGTCCTGAATTTTGATAGATATGCATGAACAGAGTAAAGAACAGGGCTGTTTCCCCCCAGGCCTGAAACTGGTGGTGGAGTGGGGATAGATGAAGTTGGTCAGTGAGCTGATACTAGAGCTTCACTCAGGAACCTGGAAGATGCAAGTCCAATTGGATAACACAGGTTGAGAGAACCTGTCCATGATGAGCAAGCATGAAGCGACAGTGGAGAGAAAAACTCCCCGTTGGGAATCTGGCAGAACCAGGCTCAAAATGGCGGTCTTCTGCCGGACCGGTTGAAACGAGACGCTGAATGCAGTAAGTCTGAGAGGAGTGAAACTGTGAGGAAGCTTTAGCTACGATGGTGGAGGAGGGGCTGGAGGGGGGTTGAAACCGGGTCATCTGAATTGAAGTCAAACATAGCACGACCCCGCCTGCACTCTAGGTAGCAGACAAGTTGTTGATTGGAGACATTTAAGATGAACTTTGGATGCCGATTGGCTCTCGTGGAGGCATGGTTCAAAGCTGATTGGCTGTGTCGCAGGCGGCTGAAGGCGAGTAATCAGTTTATTCAGTTAAACTTCCGCCTAGGCTCCATTTCTAAGATAAAATGTATGGTTTATTTTCTAAATGAGGCTATTTGGCATGTTTTGGTATGCTCCCTGTGCACAACCAATTTCACTTCAGTTTTAAATGTCAGAATTTTTAATCAAGACTAATTGGTGAATATAAAATGTTGCTACTACAAGAACTAGTAATGTCACTATCAGTTAACCCATAGAGTACTTTTCTGTTTTCTTTCTTTATTACTGAAAAATGTCCACCAACTCTAATACCTTTCGAATCTCACCCAATAAAATATAATAAATATAGGATAAATGAATAGGTTAGATTGATGTAACTGCTTAATTTTGGTCTAGAATTCAATTAATGTTTTTCTGAGTGATAGCTGGGGGAGAGGTTGAAAAATATAAATGATCCATTAAAATGTAACTTTCCAAACAGAAATCTGTCTGAATTATAGTTAGTTTATTAATCTAGAAGGTGTTTTTTTTATTTCAAAGGGAACACAAAATTAACTTAGCCCATTAGAAGCAAAACAAGGGAAAAAAGGTGTTTACCTACTTTAAATGGAAATCTACAGCCATAAAAACTGCAGATATTTAGAGTTTTTGAAAACATTTCTGCTGAATTATTATGATGTGCAGAAACTTCCCAGTAAACGTAAAACTAAATTTCTTCATGCAACTTCCCCAGTTGCATGAAGCTTTGCATTATATAGTTTGCTTACAGTGACACGCACCTGAATGACTTTAAAATAGTGCTTATGCAAAAAAAATAAAATATTCAGATGTCTGAATTCATGCTCTCTGAGGAACCTCCAAGTCCTTCACAAAGTAGCTGTATTTATACGTGGAAAAACACATAAAGTAGATTATGTTAATTATTCTGCATTTTTTCACATTTTTTAATTTTATTTTAGATTGCCATTCATTGTTTCCCTTTCTGTCCACAATTGTGTACCACTTTGTGTTAGTCTTCGACAAAAAATCATCATGAAATATATAGATGTTTTTGGTTTTAACAGGTAATTTTTTTCCTTTTTCCCCCAACAGCTGCACAAGCTGCTGTAACTGGATGAACACTTATATTTAACAATAAACATACAGACAGAGCAACTGAACATTAAAATATGACCCACCATACTAACACCTGAAACTTTATAAAAAAAAGACTGTTGCAAGACTACATAAGGTATTAAATCTTTATTAATACCTTACTTAAATCATGTTTAATATTACCATGCATGTTACATTGTGTATAGTATGGGAACCACTTTGTCTTTCTTACCTCTGCACACGTTTCTTTGCACTGCCGATGTCTACACACTATTTGCATTTCATCAGCAAAGGAAGAGTTTGCAGAGCAGGTGCAATCCTCACAAGTCTTGGCAGGAACTGAGGAACCAGGCTGACAAAGGCGAATAAATTCAGTATTAATCCAGGAAGTGATAAAATATACTTATACATCAATATTTATTCCTTACCCTGTATTCAACATCATCTTGGACACAGACTCGTTTACGTTCTAGGAAAAACAATGAGCAATTTAATAAATAAGATAGAAAGTGTTTGATTATTTAATAATTTTTTTTAAGCTCACCACATCTATTTTCTGGACAGCATTTTCCCTCAGGAACGCGGATGTTTGACCTAAAACCAACTGGACAGTTCATGTTGATCTCTGGACACGCACGGCTTTCACATTCTGTTTGACAAAGACGAAGAGCTCAAGTTATTACAAATGTTAGGAGCCACCAGCTGTAAGTAATAAAGATCATTATAGTTAGATGTCTTACGACAAACATGGAGAGTACAGCAGGGATCGGATGGATCAGTTTGATTGACAAGAACGTATCCTGGACCAGAGCACTGTTGTTCAGCTGGTGTTGGGCACGGCTTAGGCTTGCAGATCACAGTCTTGGTGGACTCATCACAGACACAGTTTTGACATTTGTATTCAAATGTCTCATTGAACTAGAGGAACAGCAATGAAGAGATGACTTAAATATGTCAGGAAACCAAAAATAGACTTTACAAGAAAATCAGGTTAAGCTCACCTCACGGGGTGTCCCATCAGGATCAAGGCATCCTGTTAAAACATTGCATAAACAACATGATCTTATTCTCTTCATTCTCTCTATATACTAATGATAATGCAACTCAGTAAACTGAGTTACATATAGTAGTGAGTTATGGAGCAATACTTAGGGAGGTATTTTTTTCTAATCCCCAAGCACCATAAAACTAAATAAACAAAAAATAACAAAAATCTCTAAATAACTTTAGTTTGTACAATTTGACAGTTTTTTTTGGGAATAGACATGGTAAGTTTGTATTCTTCATAACAAATTGCTTGTGAGCTTCAGGGGGCTGTTTTTCTACTGCTGTTGGTTAGAATCAGCAGAGGCTGACATCAGGACTTCAACTTGGAATAAAAACATTAGTAGTAGCCAATTTGATACTACACTTCAGTCACCCAGATACACTATATTACCAAAAGTATTTGCTCAGCCATCCAAATTATTGTAATTAGGTGTTGCAACATCTTCCATGGCCCCAGGTGTATAAAATCAAGCACCTAGGCATGCAGGTTTTATAAGGAACGCGCCCAGGAACTCAGTGAATTCCAGCATTCCTACTTTATGTTTGCGTACATTTTTAATGTTTTGTATTATATTTTAGCCAAAACACTTACATCTTTCTTAAAAAATGAACTAGACTGATTTAAACTTTGAAATCTTGGAATTACACCTTTTACTGTATGTGATGATAATTATAGTAATATTTACTTGTTACACCGATCCAGATCACATATGAGCTCTGATATTGAAGGTTTTTGATGATCACCATAAATTCTAATTGATTCAAATGAATGAATTTTTTCTTAGCATGAACTGTTATGTTTCATGGATGTTATTGAGCAGAGAATGGGTTAGCATTTCATGAATTCTAGAAGTAATAGTTGTAACAACAGCAAATAGTTTTGTACACAGTTTTTTAAAAATCATGGGAGACTGAACAACAGGATTCGGAATGTAGAGGATCCTAATTTAAATACATTAGGAGAACAAAAGGTGAAATCTTGAACCTTAGGTTTAAAACACACAGATTTCAATACTTACCGCAACTTTTAACACATATGTTTGAATCTTTGCTGAAAAGTTTCATTCCTTCCGGACAAAAGCAGCCTTCAGTAGTGAAGTTCATAGTTGGATCATTGGGACTGCAAAATGTAAACATTGAAAACGCTGTTATTGCTCCTTATAGGACTGTAAGTTCCCCTTTAGTTGTTTCTATTTTAGTATTAATATTGTGGTATTATTATGTATATCACCATTAATACTGCACAAATGCATTTCACAGTAAGACAGTGTTATCACACACAAATTCTGCTAACAACATAATGAATTGAACAAAGTGTCCTAGAGATGATACAAAGCTGAACATTTCAGAACACCTGTCCTCCAGAACAAGATTTGGATGTCTTTACTCTGGTAAGAGATCACTGCATTGAGAAAGAGGACACAACACTAAAGCCCAAAATCCTTTTTGTACCCCTTGAAGATTGTAAATTAGAGTACAATATGGCACAAATGTAATAAGCATTAATACATCTAGTTGTATCTAATAAAGGTCGAGGCTCCGGGATCAGCAGGAGGGAAACGCTAAAGACACATAGGAACACAGCATCCCAAACAGTGGGGCTCCCTTGATTGGCTCCTTTACTTAGTATAGTGGGGGGCTGTGAGGCGCGTTTGGGGGTCCTAGGGGGCTCTGGGGGGCGCTCGGAGTGGGGTGCCTGGCAAGTCTGACCCTGGGTTCTGTTGTCCACATGGGGGAGGGGCTTGTGACGCCTCAGGGCATCCTACAGCGGCAGCTTCCAGTGCTCTCTGGGGGTTCCGTGATGGCAAACGTGGGTTACCGCCGGGTGGGTCCGGGGGTCTGGGGTCCCTGGGGCAGTTGCCCTGGGGGGGCATGTGGGGGCGTCGGGGGTTCGGGTTCTGTGGGGAATGCTGCTTGGGGTCTGGTCCAGTGTATGCCCAGCTGTCCAGCCATGTTGGGGCCTCTGGTGTGCTGGGGGGCCTCAGGACCTGTGGAGCTGGTGGGGGGGCATGGGCATTTACACCTTTAATTCTACCTGAGAGCAACACCCAACAACACTAAATTTGAGCTGGCGTAGGGAGGATCGGGGTCTTCTCACACCCCTGTTCTCCGGCTGCCACCTGGAGTCTGGGCCTGGAGGAAGAGCCAGCCGCCTGGTTCGTGGTCTTAAAACCCCTAAAACCCTTCCGGATTTTAGGTTCACCTTCAAATAGCCAATTTAAATAGAAAATCCTGCTAAAAGAAAAGCAGGAAAATAATAATATGAGAAAACTAATACAGTGTGAAACATTGGTTAAAATCCTTTTACCATCTTTTGTGTATTTACACTTTATTTGGAGGAATCAATATTCAGTGATTGTTCTGTTTTGGTAAAGAGAGAGCTGAGCCAAAAGGCAAAGCTTTTGATTTCCTTCGTTACTAACCTCACCTACGGCCAAGAATCCCAAATACAAGCAGCTGAAAAATAGCTTTCTGGAACTTCTTAGAAATAAGGTGAGGAGCCAACTGGGAGACGCTCACAGTTCAGCCACTCCTTCCCCACATTGATAGCAGTCAGCTGAGGTAGCTAGGACCAGGGGGGCAGTAGTAGGCCATTAGGCAGTACTACGCAGTTGCTCGGGCCCAAAGTTCCTGGGGGCAAATAGGGCTGGTTTTGTCCCTTGTCCTGTTGTTTTATTACCAACTACTATAAATGTGCAACTATAACTCTATGATAAAACTAAAATTAGATAAGTAAATGTGTTACAATCAAAAGAAAAATATTTTAATTTAGAACTTACCTGTCCTCACAGGATGGTTGATCTGCAGGCCCACAAGGTCTATAGATTTTGTTTGATGGACAGTTGCTGGCTGTTGGTTGAGAACAATATATTTTTTCTTAAAATTTACTACTGCTTACAATTAAAATGATTCATTAAGATATATATCTTTTTAAATACATTAATTATATACAAAGAAAAACATATTGTACCGCATTGGTCAGTGTGGCTCCTCCAATTTATGCACATTCCAATCTTAGCACAAGCAGCTGCATAAATCTCCAAAGTGGCGCACTGAACCGCCTGGCTGTGAATGCGGCAACTATCATAAACACATCCTTTGTAAAAAGTGTCTGCAGAGATCCATTGACGGCACTGAGCGAAGACACTGGCGTGGAAGATAAAAATATAAGATCATAAAAGTAGGTAATAATTTACAGAAATTCATAAACTGAATTTAATGTAGAGCAAAACAGACCAAATAATTTGTAAACAACCTGCTCAGAAGAAGATCACATATGGAAGATGAATTGCATGGAGTTGGTTCTGGAAGAGGTTCTCCTGGAGGGACACTTGGCTTGCACTCAATTTTATTCTTGTCACTTTCTAGAAGCCAGCTGTCGGCCATTAGAGCGCAACTTTCCTCTCCTTTGCCTCCCTGCAACCCGCAGTCATCCTTCTGATTATTGGTGCAAGTTCCTACAAGGATTATAAAGTGTCATTAAGATTAAAATCAAAGGTTCTACACAGATGTTGAGCTGTGAAGGAGTTCTTACCACATTGACCCTCTGTGTTTCCTCCGAAGTACTTATAAGGAAGGTTCACACTAAAGCCATTTTTTCCAAATGTTACAACCACTCTTAGACGAAGGATCTCTAAAGCAAGGTCAATGCCAGAACTCATCACCTTAACACCTTGTTCCCAAAATGGTAGCCTTAGATTTACTTCATTCTTGTAGGCCTGGAAATAAAATAGGGATATTAGAAAAGGATAACTAATTTTTTCCATATTTTGTTTAAAAGATGATTTTAAGTGGGTATAATCTTGTGTTACCTCCAATTCTGGCTGTCCAGTGAGATTAAAAATGGTGAGTTTGATACTTTGCTTTCCATAGTTTACAATTAAGGATCGACGACAAGAAACATCTCGAGTTGGATCACAACGGTTGTTGTCAATATACATTTCCAAGTCATGCATGGGGGAAATTTCTTTCATCAAATAATAAGAACAGTTTCCTTGGTAACCGTAGTATAGCCCATCAAATGTAATGCGATGGTCTCCCCAGCCTTTGCACTCACCTGAAGTAATACAAATTTCATGTGTTTATAATGTTCAAAGCAAAAACCCTTTTCTTTATTAATTGATCCTACACAGCATTATGACCACTGCCTATAGCCTAGAATAATGATGACATGAAAAAAAAAAGGATTTCTTTCAGTGTCTAGAAATTTATCAATAGCAGTAAATCATTTGAGATTTGTGATGGAAGGTTTTATATGAAATAGGTGGGGGCAGTTTTTTATGAGCATATGCTAAAATAGGTAATATCTGCTCTCACAAGTGATTGTGGTTGTTTATTAAAACAGACAAGCTATATTGTGATTAAGTAGGTTAGCGCATTATTTTCTGTCTGGGGGGTTATAATGTTTAGTTTTGTTAATTTCTATAAGATATTAATTAACTAACTTACAGTCACATTCATAATGTTGACAGCATTGATATTCATCATATTCAAGAACAGGACTTCTTCCATTAGTGCAGGTAATATTCTTTATGGATGGACACTCGTATGGCACTATTTGAAGAGTATTGTTTCCTACACATGTGGCCATTGTGCAGTTGCAAAAATAAAATGTCTCATTTTGCTGTAAAGGAGACAAAAATGGAAAATCAGTAGAAGGGAATTTAAGGAAATACAATAACTGGACTTTAACCATAAAACCATTTAACAATATAAACATTTAAGAGTACAACATTCCACTAGTTAAATGGTAAGGTCTGGAGTCTTTTCAAAGAGTTTTTAAAAATTTTACTTACTACTTTATCCCATTTAGAACAATCTGATGAAGGTGTAATTGTAGTTGATACAGCAGTATTAGAAGATGTTTCAGTTGTAGATCCTGTTGATGTGGTTCCAGTGGTAGACTCCGATTGTGTTGATGATTGAGTTGATATTGAGGTAGTAGTTAAAGTTTTCGTAGTTGTAGGTTTTTCTGTTGTAGATTTAGTCAAAAGTGTTGTAGATACTGTGGTTGTAGTTGGTGATGTAGTTGATGTTGTAGCGGTTGTAGGGGTGGTGGTTGAAATTGTTGGGGTAGAAGTAGGTGTTGGAGTTGATGATTTAATTGTGGGTGTTGTGGATCCTGTGATTGTTGTTGACGATATGGTTGTAGACCCTGTTGATGTGGTAGTGATCAGAGTTGTTGAGATAGTTGGTGTATGTGTTGAAGTCTTAGTTGAGGGTGTTGTGGATTCTGTAGTTGTAGTTGGGGATGTTGTTGTAGACCCTGTTGATGTGGTTGTTGTAGTTATAGTGGTAGACTCCGATTGTGTTGATGATTGAGTTGATATTGAGGTAGGAGTTGAAGTTTCTGTAGTTGTAGGTTTTTCAGTTGTAGATTTAGTCAAAAGTGTTGTAGATACTGTGGTTGTAGTTGGTGATGTAGTTGATGTAGCGGTTGTAGGGGTGGTGGTTGAAATTGTTGGGGTAGAAGTAGGTGTTGGAGTTGATGATTTAATTGTGGGTGTTGTGGATCCTATGATTGTTGTTGACGACATGGTTGTAGACCCTGTTGATGTGGTAGTGATCAGAGTTGTTGAGATAGTTGGTGTATGTGTTGAAGTCTTAGTTGAGGGTGTTGTGGATTCTGTAGTTGTAGTTGGGGATGTTGTTGTAGACCCTGTTGATGTGGTTGTTGTAGTTATAGTGGTAGACTCCGATTGTGTTGATGATTGAGTTGATATTGAGGTAGGAGTTGAAGTTTCTGTAGTTGTAGGTTTTTCAGTTGTAGATTTAGTCAAAAGTGTTGTAGATACTGTGGTTGTAGTTGGTGATGTAGTTGATGTAGCGGTTGTAGGGGTGGTGGTTGAAATTGTTGGGGTAGAAGTAGGTGTTGGAGTTGATGATTTAATTGTGGGTGTTGTGGATCCTGTGATTGTTGTTGACGACATGGTTGTAGACCCTGTTGATGTGGTAGTGATCAGAGTTGTTGAGATAGTTGGTGTATGTGTTGAAGTCTTAGTTGAGGGTGTTGTGGATTCTGTAGTTGTAGTTGGGGATGTTGTTGTAGACCCTGTTGATGTGGTTGTTGTAGTTGTAGTGGTAGACTCCGATTGTGTTGATGATTGAGTTGATATTGAGGTAGGAGTTGAAGTTTCTGTAGTTGTAGGTTTTTCAGTTGTAGATTTAGTCAAAAGTGTTGTAGATACTGTGGTTGTAGTTGGTGATGTAGTTGATGTAGCGGTTGTAGGGGTGGTGGTTGAAATTGTTGGGGTAGAAGTAGGTGTTGGAGTTGATGATTTAATTGTGGGTGTTGTGGATCCTATGATTGTTGTTGACGACATGGTTGTAGACCCTGTTGATGTGGTAGTGATCAGAGTTGTTGAGATAGTTGGTGTATGTGTTGAAGTCTTAGTTGAGGGTGTTGTGGATTCTGTAGTTGTAGTTGGGGATGTTGTTGTAGACCCTGTTGATGTGGTTGTTGTAGTTATAGTGGTAGACTCCGATTGTGTTGATGATTGAGTTGATATTGAGGTAGGAGTTGAAGTTTCTGTAGTTGTAGGTTTTTCAGTTGTAGATTTAGTCAAAAGTGTTGTAGATACTGTGGTTGTAGTTGGTGATGTAGTTGATGTAGCGGTTGTAGGGGTGGTGGTTGAAATTGTTGGGGTAGAAGTAGGTGTTGGAGTTGATGATTTAATTGTGGGTGTTGTGGATCCTGTGATTGTTGTTGACGACATGGTTGTAGACCCTGTTGATGTGGTAGTGATCAGAGTTGTTGAGATAGTTGGTGTATGTGTTGAAGTCTTAGTTGAGGGTGTTGTGGATTCTGTAGTTGTAGTTGGGGATGTTGTTGTAGACCCTGTTGATGTGGTTGTTGTAGTTGTAGTGGTAGACTCCGATTGTGTTGATGATTGAGTTGATATTGAGGTAGGAGTTGAAGTTTTCGTAGTTGTAGATTTTTCAGTTGTAGATTTAGTCAAAAGTGTTGTAGATACTGTGGTTGTAGTTGGTGATGTAGTTGATGTAGCGGTTGTAGGGGTGGTGGTTGAAATTGTTGGGGTAGAAGTAGGTGTTGGAGTTGATGATTTAATTGTGGGTGTTGTGGATCCTGTGATTGTTGTTGACGACATGGTTGTAGACCCTGTTGATGTGGTAGTGATCAGAGTTGTTGAGATAGTTGGTGTATGTGTTGAAGTCTTAGTTGAGGGTGTTGTGGATTCTGTAGTTGTAGTTGGGGATGTTGTTGTAGACCCTGTTGATGTGGTTGTTGTAGTTGTAGTGGTAGACTCCGATTGTGTTGATGATTGAGTTGATATTGTGTTAGTAGTTGAAGTTTTCGTAGTTGTAGGTTTTTCAGTTGTAGATTTAGTCAAAGGTGTTGTAGATACTGTAGTTGTATTTGGTGAAGTAGTAGATGTTGTAGTGGTGGTAGGGGTGGTGGATGAAATTGTTGGGGTAGAAGTAGGTGTTGGAGTTGACGATTTAATTGTGGGTGTTGTGGATCCTGTGATTGTTGTTGACGATATGGTTGTAGACCCTGTTGATGTGGTAGTGATCAGAGTTGTTGAGATAGTTGGTGTATGTGTTGAAGTCTTAGTTGAGGGTGTTGTGGATTCTGTAGTTGTAGTTGGGGATGTTGTTGTAGACCCCGTTGATGTGGTTGTTGTAGTTGTAGTGGTAGACTCCGATTGTGTTGATGATTGAGTTGATATTGTGGTAGTAGTTGAAGTTTTCGTAGTTGTTGTAGGTTTTTCAGTTGTAGATTTAGTCAAAGGTGTTGTAGATACTGTAGTTGTAGTTGGTGATGTAGTAGATGTTGCAGTGGTGGTAGGGATGGTGGATGAAATCGTTGGGGTAGAAGTAGGTGTTGGAGTTGACGATTTGATTGTGGGTGTTGTGGATCCTGTGATTGTTGTTGACAATATGGTTGTAGACCCTGTTGATGTGGTAGTGATCAGAGTTGTTGAGATAGTTGGTGTATGTGTTGAAGTCTTAGTTGAGAGTGCTGTGGATTCTGTAGTTGTAGTTGGGGATGTTGTTGTAGACCCCGTTGATGTGGTTGTTGTAGTTGTAGTGGTAGACTCCGATTGTGTTGATGATTGAGTTGATATTGAGGTAGGAGTTGAAGTTTTCGTAGTTGTAGGTTTTTCAGTTGTAGATTTAGTCAAAAGTGTTGTAGATACTGTGGTTGTAGTTGGTGATGTAGTTGATGTAGCGGTTGTAGGGGTGGTGGTTGAAATTGTTGGGGTAGAAGTAGGTGTTGGAGTTGATGATTTAATTGTGGGTGTTGTGGATCCTGTGATTGTTGTTGACGATATGGTTGTAGACCCTGTTGATGTGGTAGTGATCAGAGTTGTTGAGATAGTTGGTGTATGTGTTGAAGTCTTAGTTGAGGGTGTTGTGGATTCTGTAGTTGTAGTTGGGGATGTTGTTGTAGACCCTGTTGATGTGGTTGTTGTAGTTGTAGTGGTAGACTCCGATTGTGTTGATGATTGAGTTGATATTGAGGTAGGAGTTGAAGTTTCTGTAGTTGTAGGTTTTTCAGTTGTAGATTTAGTCAAAAGTGTTGTAGATACTGTGGTTGTAGTTGGTGATGTAGTTGATGTAGCGGTTGTAGGGGTGGTGGTTGAAATTGTTGGGGTAGAAGTAGGTGTTGGAGTTGATGATTTAATTGTGGGTGTTGTGGATCCTGTGATTGTTGTTAACGATATGGTTGTAGACCCTGTTGATGTGGTAGTGATCAGAGTTGTTGAGATAGTTGGTGTATGTGTTGAAGTCTTAGTTGAGGGTGTTGTGGATTCTGTAGTTGTAGTTGGGGATGTTGTTGTAGACCCTGTTGATGTGGTTGTTGAAGTTGTAGTGGTAGACTCCGATTGTGTTGATGATTGAGTTGATATTGTGGTAGTAGTTGAAGTTTTCGTAGTTGTTGTAGGTTTTTCAGTTGTAGATTTAGTCAAAGGTGTTGTAGATACTGTAGTTGTAGTTGGTGATGTAGTAGATGTTGTAGTGGTGGTAGGGATGGTGGATGAAATCGTTGGGGTAGAAGTAGGTGTTGGAGTTGACGATTTGATTGTGGGTGTTGTGGATCCTGTGATTGTTGTTGACAATATGGTTGTAGACCCTGTTGATGTGGTAGTGATCAGAGTTGTTGAGATAGTTGGTGTATGTGTTGAAGTCTTAGTTGAGAGTGTTGTGGATTCTGTAGTTGTAGTTGGGGATGTTGTTGTAGACCCCGTTGATGTGGTTGTTGTAGTTGTAGTGGTAGACTCCGATTGTGTTGATGATTGAGTTGATATTGAGGTAGGAGTTGAAGTTTTCGTAGTTGTAGGTTTTTCAGTTGTAGATTTAGTCAAAAGTGTTGTAGATACTGTGGTTGTAGTTGGTGATGTAGTTGATGTAGCGGTTGTAGGGGTGGTGGTTGAAATTGTTGGGGTAGAAGTAGGTGTTGGAGTTGATGATTTAATTGTGGGTGTTGTGGATCCTGTGATTGTTGTTGACGATATGGTTGTAGACCCTGTTGATGTGGTAGTGATCAGAGTTGTTGAGATAGTTGGTGTATGTGTTGAAGTCTTAGTTGAGGGTGTTGTGGATTCTGTAGTTTTAGTTGGGGATGTTGTTGTAGACCCTGTTGATGTGGTTGTTGTAGTTGTAGTGGTAGACTCAGATTGTGTTGATGATTGAGTTGATATTGTGGTAGTAGTTGAAGGTTTCGTAGTTGTAGGTTTTTCAGTTGTAGATTTAGTCAAAGGTGTTGTAGATACTGTGGTTGTAGTTGGTGATGATGATGTTGTAGCGGTTGTAGGGGTGGTGGTTGAAATTGTTGGGGTAGAAGTAGGTGTTGGAGTTGATGATTTAATTGTGGGTGTTGTGGATCCTGTGATTGTTGTTGACAATATGGTTGTAGACCCTGTTGATGTGGTAGTGATCAGAGTTGTTGAGATAGTTGGTGTATGTGTTGAAGTCTTAGTTGAGGGTGTTGTGGATTCTGTAGTTGTAGTTGGGGATGTTGTTGTAGACCCTGTTGATGTGGTTGTTGTAGTTGTAGTGGTAGACTCCGATTGTGTTGATGATTGAGTTGATATTGAGGTAGTAGTTGATGTTTTTGTAGTTGTTGTAGATTTTTTAGTTGAGGATGTTGTGGATTCTGCGGTTGTAGTTGGGGATTTTGTGGATTCTGTGGTTGTTCTTGCTGATGTTGCTGTAGACCCTGATGATGTGGTTGTTATTGTTGTAGTTGTGAGGGTAGTAGGTGTTTGAGTGGAAGTCTTAGTAGATGGTGTTGTGGATATTGTGGTTGTTGCAGTAGTTGGTGTAAATGTAGTTGTTGTTTTTCTCTGCCCACATGCTTGTACACATTCCTTTTCATCCTCATCAAATACATGGCCATCTTCACATTTGGGGTAACAGCCTGTAAAAATTACACCATAGTGCTAAGCAGAATTAATTACTTTTTCATTTTCTTCATTTTATGATTTGAAAAAGTGTTAAAACTTGACTTACCCTCCAGCCTTGGGATATGGTTAAAGTAGTTTGAACAAGTTTGATATGATGTTGGAGTGCAGGGCTGGTAATGCCATAAACAATGATGTTGTTCATTGTAATAATCACAAAAGACGGCTGAAACAAAATTTTAGAGATAATCTTTAGAGGAACAGAAATCCACCTAAAAAATAGATTTTACAGTTACATTATTCTTTGAATCAAAAGTTTAAAGGGCCAATTTTAACTTAGCTCTAATAACTTACCTTTTCAAAGACCCTGGGAAAATGTGATTTTTATTTTCGTATACACATATCATAGTCTTACATACCTATTTACTCATTTGTTGAAAGGAATTATAATAGAAATGACATGTTTGTCTTACAATATGAATACAATGCTTAAGTAGCTATCCAAGTATAGCCTAAAGCTTTATTTTGTGTCAACAATTTTAAGTTTCCATTTGTTATTATGATAAAGGCTAATAGGCTACTAGCTCTACCACAACTACTACTTCTACTACTATTACTCAGACTACTGCTAGGCCAGGTAAAAAAATTCAATCAAATTAATGAATTAGAATTTTTGTTGCGGGTGATTCAAAACAAATTAAATAGATTTTGAAAAATAATGGTTCATTTTTGGCTCTGTGGGGTTTCTGTAGATGGAGTATTACTCTCGGGTAGCAGTTTGGCTAGCGACAGCATCACATGTAACAGCAAACGAAATCATAGCGACGGGTGGGTGAGAAATTTGTTCTCAAAAAAGGAATAAAATAATCTGTTGTTTGGAACTGCAGGTCTTAAATTTCTCTGCCATAGTGCCGGATTTCTGAGCATCATCTGTGAGTGGAATTTTTTTTTTTTTTGCGGAGGGAAAAATAAACTTGTCAACCTGAGTTTCATAGCAACACCAGTGATAACTCAAAATACTATGACGTGTCTTTTGGCACTTATTAGAATGCATTACTACCCAAACACAGTTACATGAATGAGCTGCAGCCATCATAGCAGAAATAACAGTGAATAGCAGCTTGTAAACATCAGCAACATGCAAGGCGTGTCTATTTAGATGCAGTTGTATTAGAAGAAACAGGATTGTGTATTGAAATGCATATTTCACACAGGGTTAGAAAAGTTGAAACGAATCATAAGTCGAAATAAGAATATAAAAAATGTCAAATATTAGTTTCAAGCCATATTCCCCAGTCCTCCTCCTTCTCCTCCTACTACTACTGCTACTAATAATAATATTAACAATTATTCTTTATAATAATGGAAGCAGCATGAAGTTCGTAAATATTTCAGGGTGGCAGGAAATTCTGATTTTTTTTTCCTTTTGAAAAATGTACAAAAGACTAATTTTACATATAGAAAATTTGTTTATTTTTTAAGACAACAAACTCTCCTTTAGAAATGAACTCATTTTAAGCAGCTTGAAAGACATAATTTCACTTTTGGAAAAAATAGTTCACTTACGACAGATTTCTGGAGTTCTCCATGCAATGCAAAGACCAGCATCATTACATGCTTGGGCGTAAGCTGCAACAGCTGAACAGAAACACTCACAGTCCCCTCCAGTGTCACAGGCACAAGAGTCTTTTACACAGCTTTCATAAAAAGGACGTGGGTCTACCTGAAATGATTGAAAAACAATGATTTCTTTTTTTTTTTTTTTTTTTACTTCTTAAGTGTTGCATTTTACTACAGGACTAACAATTGGACTACCTTGGAGTGGCATTCTTGGAATGTGTCGCTATTTATGATGTTGCATTTCATTTTTGCCCAATGGTCTCGATGAGGCCTTTTTTCACAAGCATCAACAAGTTTTTCCACATCTGAGCAAGAGCTGTCACCTTTCCAGCTGTTTGCAAATTCTAATGGGTTGCTAACTACCAACCCACTCCTGGTGGTGAAGTCATTCTCTGCATTACCATCAAAATTTCCACATAGTCCACATACATCACCCTATAGAAACACAAAAAGGGAGTTATCAGTGCACCTTTCATCATGCAGAGGAGCATATTACTTTATTGAGGCTAGGTCTATTACTTTCAGTCAATTAATAGACGTAATTGAGAAGGATCTATACTTCTTTATAGTGAAAAAACTTTTCTACTACACATCTTAATGTCTTGACTGTAGTAAGTAAACATCTTTTGTGACTCACCTTGTAACTTGGTTCCAATTGGATGACAAAATATGTTTTGCGATCCCAAATTACTGTTAGACCGATGTCAGAAGCTAAAACAATATAGAAGCCACGATCTATTATTTTATAAGGTATATGGGTGCCATTTTCCAGGACCTCTTTTGTACTTTCACCGTTGGAGAAGATGACCAGATTTTTCTGAAATAAGGAAATTTTACTCTTTTTAAAACATCAAGACAATTCTTATATGAAAATGACTGTGATTAATGTCTGTTTTTGTAAATATTGCCACTTCAATGACTTCATTCATGGTTGGAGACTTTTATTTTTTTATATTTTGCCTTACCCCTAGCTGAACTCTGACAGTTTTGGAACATGTTGTGCCTGTGGATCCGCATGGTTCATCTTCGGTGATAACTTCAATGTCATGCTCTGATGTTTTATTAGAGCACTTGTTCTGGAAAAGGGAAATGTAATTTCAATAGTTATGATACTGATCAAGTACTTACAATACTCCCAGGATTTGTATATCTAGAAATTGCTCATAAGGAGTACACCTGTCATAGTTTTCTCTTATTAATGCAGCAGCCCTGCTGTCAAGGCAAATGCATCTTTTGGAAATCAATGATATTTGGCAAAACCAAACCGAAATAGAGCCTATATGCACCCTATATATTCAATGCTCTAAATATCTATATCAATTAATCTTTTTTGCACCATGTTTTTTTTTCTTTTCCCACACTGTTTAAATTTGATCACTGCTGAACTTTAAGGAATGGAACTGTCATGAAAGCTGTACAAAACAAAATGTCATTTTTTATACACTATATGCAAACAAAATCACAATAAAAGTTGTCTATGTCTAATATTTAGTCATACACATATTTACATTTTTTTTAATGCAAATGTATTTTTGGTGCTTCTAATTGAAGTGGAATTATATGTTTAGGTTAAACAGTAATAGGCAAAAAAATTTTACACCGACAAACTTTATTTTATTCAAATTACTAATTATTTTATTCTACCAGATAGCTGTGTTTTGTAGTTGTCTTTTATACCATAGCTTTGAAAGGGATATGCTATGGTGTTGTTGTTGTAATGTTACAAAAACTGCTAAAAAGCTTAAGAGGTTTAAATAATTACACATTCACTGTAGCTTTAAATATCCTCTGTGTTTTCTTATTGCATAAAAACTATTTAATAAGAATTTTATTCTGTAGGGCTTAGTGGCAATATTTTCCATAGGTTCATGCATTTAGAAACATGTTTGGTCATTAGTTAAAGCCAATAAACTTACCTTGACAGCAACATAGGAACAGTGTCCTTGAAACTCATATAATCGCATGTCAAACGTTTTGTGATGTCCACTTCCATATATAATGCAGCTCCGTGAACAGTTGTTGTCGGTGCATTGCCAGTGTCCATCTTCACAAATACTAAATTTATGATAAATGGACAGAGTTAAGCAAAATACAGAAATAAATGGTCAAAAATTAAAACATAAATATACATACATATAAACATTAAAGCACTTAATAACTTGGATAGACATATATAGATATATATTTTTTTACCAGAGGTTGCATTCTTGATGAACTCTGTCTCCAGGCTGATAGAACTGACCATTGTGCTGGCATGGACATTGACTTTCATTTTTTACACATGAGCCCTGACCATCATCAATTTGGTCTGACGGGCACATACAGTCAGATACACATTCTGATGCATCCTGGGAGAACAGAAAAAGTAAAGTCATAAAATGATCTCAGCCAACACTGAATTACAGCTATTTATTTCTCAAGATCTCTGCAGCTTTTAATTAATTCTGCAGTCACAGGTTACTATTGTTCAGTACAGTATCACTGCCATGACAATCTTTTATTTGATACCCAGACACCCATTACAGTTTTTTGTTTACTCTTAAAGTCGTAGGGAAGCGGCTGTTCCAACCTTTGCATTTCTGAATTCTCGCGAGTGGTGCCTGACTTTCAGAGATGGGAAGTAACGAAGTACAAATACTTCGTTACTGTACTCAAGTAGATTTTTCTGATATTTTTACTTTACTTTACTACTTATTTTTATAGCGACATTTTACTTCTACTCCTTACATTTTTACACAAATATCTGTACTTTCTACTCCTTATATTTTTAAAAATTGGCTCGTTACTTTAGTTTTGAATCATTTCAATGGAGTTACCGTTATTATTTTTCACGTCATCAGTACCAAATTCAATCTAATTGGATGGGAATCTACGTTGCATTTGACGCACCACTACAAGATGAATCGACAGATTCAGCGGTATTCATTCACGGCAAATCATTGCAGCTTGGTGGCGGTGGCGTTAGCATAGTAGTATGGACAACGAGATGATTGAAAATGAACACAACGGAGATCTAGTCCTATTGGCAGACATCCATTTAAAATGTAGGCAACGGCATGAAAAAAGTGGTTTCTACTTTTACTTTTATACTTTAAGTAAATTTACAAGCCTGTACTTTGTTACTTTTACTTAAGTAAAGAAGTTTAATCAGTACTTCCACTTTTACCAGAGTATTTTTTAACACAAGTATCTGTACTTTTACTCAAGTACGGAAAGTGAGTACTTTTGCCATCTCTGCTGACTTTACACGAGTGAATAAAGTGAATGTGTGTGGAGGAAGGTTCTCAAGCAAGGGTGATTGTGGCCGGTTTGTGGGAAGCATCTTGCTAACCAGTTAGCAACTTAGTGCTAGCAGGTTCCCAATGGGAAATTCCATTGGGACCAAGTAGCACTAAATTGGTGACTTAGAAACGACGCTGTCAAGGAACGCTATGGACAGCGGAAACATGCAAGAGGAGGAGAGTTTAGTGTCGGAGGTCGTGGATGAGTCTCCTCCGTCATCCATTTTTTATTTAGAGGAGGAAAGCGGGGACGAAGATGTTGTGGAAGAGGACGCCAGGGCGGCAGAAGCTAGGTTTGGTGTAGAAGGCTTCCAGCCGTACATGTTTGAGCCCTTGCCTCGCAACGCTGTCAGTTCTGTTAGCTCTACGCCTGCCGAAGACACAGACGTCCATCCCCGTGAACACTGGGACGCAACTCAATGGGAAAGGAAAGGATTCTGGTTTCTTATTTCAACCGTTGTGTATATTAGCTGCGACACATGAATCAAGATGCTATGACCGAAAACATTTGATTGACAGATGACCATTGATATATAGAAATAGAAATTTTCAAAATTTTGGGACAATATTTTTTTGATAAAGAGTACATCTATATACATGTTTAAGCCAGAATGAGTTGACAATTAAATGTTATTTCCCCATGACTTGAAGTAATTTTTTGGATGGCAACTTTCTACCATCACTGGAGTATAAATATGCTGAAAGAATGCAGTTCTTACTTGAATAAATTGTTTGGCCCTTTTTTCTCCTTTATATGTATCGCATGTGCATCTCATAAAAAGAAGTATTAGCATTTCTTTTAAACAATTTGTGGGTTCTCTGCTCAAGAGTAATTATTATACACATAATATTAGCTCTTTTTGCATTAGCTCTGACAAAAAGGTGGATCTCTGAAGAATGCTGCATAAAATGTTTAAATGAAATAAATCTGAGGATTTCTGATCCTTCTCAAAGATTAAGATGACAAACACTTACACAAACATCATCATCGAGATTCAAACAACTTCGAGCGCACTGTGGTCCAAAGTCACCGGGGTTTGCCGCAGAGCAGTTGAAGTACACTTTTGGAGGCGAACATACTATACAAAAAGGAGGTAATTATTCAATTATCATAATATTAGTTGGTGTGAGTTTTACAGAAAAGTTATTAACTCTGTGGTCGAGGATCTACCTATGGAGTGATTTTTTGAGGAATGGCAGTGAAGCTTTCCATTGGTGCACACACTGGAGAAAACAAAGCAAAGATTAATGGTTTAATATAAATGCTGGTACTGTATGTTAGTTGCTTTAAAAACAGGAGTAACTTTATTAGTCAGGTTTCTTTTTACTCACCAGTGTTTAGAATTATAGTTGACAGAGGCTCCTGCATCTAAATAGTCTCCATCATGGTAACAGGAACATTCCTCTTTGGGTACACAAACGTCTTTTTCATTTAGATAGAGGCCATCAGGGCAGAAACAGCCGACCACAGGCAGGAAGTGTGCAGTACAGCTCTTCTGGTCCTCATTCAGTGAACTACAAGTCAGCTGACATCTCCGATGATTGTAAGTAAAGATCTGGGTTGACGGACAGCTCTCTGTGTGTTTCTCTGTTTTGGGGGTAGTATGGCCATAGTTAGCAGTCTGTATGATTGTATGATTTACAAATTACAGTTAGAGGTTTAGTTTGGGTTATTTTAGAGTCAGGTTCTGTGAAGCTACAGGTAACAGATATCTTTACTTTTCTGCAGCAAAAAAGTGTCATATCACTGTGATATTTCATGAGAGCTTTTTGAAAAAAATTAAGTAATCAGTAGTTAATTATCAGTAGTTTATTATCATTAACAGTAGTTGAAAATTACCAATGGCATCTGATAGTGAGTCTGAGTCTGGTGAATCGATGCAGGAGGCTCCAAAAAAACCAAACTTTTCTACACATAAAAGTGCAGCTAAACTAACATTATCATTTAATGAAACTGACTGATTTAGTAGAAAATATTTGTTATAAAGAAATGTAATATTAGAGTAAATATATGTATATATGCATTAGGTATAGGCTATGTAATGTGTTCTTTAAATAAGAAGCCATTAGAACTCTCCTCACCCAACATATTATGGTTTGACCAGGACAACCCCGCGCTGCAACTTTTACATTTATTTTGCTGCAAACTAAGAATGTCAGGTTTTCAGAAGAAAAAAAAGAGAAAAAGGGAAGATGAAACCAAGGGCTTGATGGATTTTAGGAGTAAATGTTAAAAATAAACTGAGGATGAGTCAGGAACAGTTCCAGGAGTGGAACTGCAGAAGAATGATTCCCATTCAGAGCCAGCTAAGAAGCAATGAGTTTACCAAAGAATTTTAAATTATAGCATCCGATGGCTAGTGTAAGGGAGAAAACACATTTTCTTTTACAGAAATACTTGAGCTTAGTGCCAAAGGAGCAGAAAAATGGCAGAGGACCAGGTGCAGGGAGAAAGACGAAGCGGATCAGCAGTTTGCAGCGCGTGTTTGAGGAGGGTGACAGAGAGAACCATCCCTATAGATAACAGAGACAGTGCAGGTGGAGGGGCCTACTGCCCGATCGAGAGAGTCTGAGCATAGCGGCTCAGAGACGGATCACGTTGTTAATTTCAATAATCCTGCGCTGTGGCCAACAGAAGTGACTGATTCTGATCGAGTGAATCTTTGTAGTTAGCCTGGTGAGACCATCCTGATCTCGCAAGCTTTCAAGGTTTCACTCGCAGATCAGTCTGGAGACTCTCCGTTAAAGAACATTTGGAGCCGTTCACCAAACGAACGTCCAATCAGCGTTGGCTTTGAGGCGGGTTGAGGTGTGACGCAACTAGAAGCGTGACAGTTCAGTCTAAAGAACATGGCGGCTTCAGCCGATGAAACTAGCGTTAGCGTGGCTATCGAGCAAGTTTTATCGGAATTACAGAGTATTTCTTCAATGAAAGAAGAGCTAAACACTGCTCTGGAGGCTTTTCTCAGAGGAAAAGATGTTTTTGCTCTTCTCCCGACTGGTTTCGGCAAGAGTAGCCTGGCTTGTGGTTGTGTTTTCGTCGTTGCTCTGTTAGTACGTAATATGCTTCGTTGATCTGATTGGTTTATTTGGCCCGTCTATCACCAACATAGGCCAATCAGCTAACCAGTATTTTCGCCCCTTCCCAAAATTACTTCAACGGAAGGTTTCCAGATGGATATGCAGAGCAAATCCATCTGGCGGAGTCAGGTTAGTTTGTAGTTGCAAAAGGAAGTCTTTCTCAGAGATGGCAATAGAACTACCAGCAGATTCAGGGGGCAGAGAATCCACAAAGTATCTAACCTGGAGGGGTGGTAGGTGTAGAGGGGAGGCCCAAAAAGACTGTGTTGTCCCCGGGCCTGCCAACAACCCCCTGATATTAATGTCTAACCCTAACTGTCTTAAAGAGATAATTTCAGCTAAAAGAGATGGTTTATGTCTGACTTCCTTTCAGCATTTTTGTGTTTTTTTTATCTTACTCAAAGAATTTCACTGTAATATGACCTCCAAGGTATCATCCATTAAAAAAATAATCTGGTGTAACCCTTTAACTTAAAACTTTGTAATTAAACTAATCAAACTTAAGTCAGCGTGAAAACCAGAAAGCTCTTCTTACCACATTCATTTCCAAAATCTGTTACAAACTTTCCTCGTGCTGCACAGGCTCGACCGTAAGAGGTAAAGACTGCGCATAAGCAGTCCTCACTTTTCTCACAGCTGCAGGTGGAATAAAGGCAGCGCTGTAAACATAAATTATAATTATAAGTTCTTCCAAGATATTAAACTCAAACTATTTAACTTGGAAGTCTGAGAGCAAATGTTTTGTTGTACCTTGTAGTAGGTCTCAGGATCCACATCTGAATGGCATATTGCAAATGAGCCGTTTGGATTTCGTACCATTTCACACCAGTCTTTAGCATATTTCTCTACAATCATAAACAGAAAACAATGTTTTTGTTTTTTTACTTTTAATAAATTTACCTAAAGCAAACACTTTGATAGCAGTCTAACACAATTCATCCAGAATTAAAGGAGACTGTATGACCTAAAAAGAAAAAGTTATTTACCAATACTCATACTGTTGGAACATGGATCACTGTGTCTTTCTTCGCCTCCAGAGCATGAGGTGTTTGCCTTCCAGGAGTTACTGAACGTCAGTGCCGTGCCCTCCACGATGCCCTGAGGAGTCTTCATGTCATCGTTGGAGACCATGTTGAAGCTTCCACATAAACCTGAGGAACATGTTTAGAACAACAGCTTAAACACAGAGCTATGCAAAACAAACTAGCCGTTAACTTTTTTTTATCCAAGACATATATAGTTTTTCCATCAATATATTTTAGTCTCTTGACATGAGTTCAGGTTAAGCCATTTATGTAATTTAACAAAAAAGAAGGTGACAGAAATACAATCAATTTTAAGAACATTTCTAGAAGCTTAAGGTCCTGCTGTTTTTTTTTCTCTCCAACTTTCTCGTCAGGTTCAGTTCGGGGCTGGAGCTGGGCTCCTGTAGTCCCTCACAAGTTTGACGTATTTAGGCTCAAATTTCAGAGCTTAAAAAGAGGCTGGCTGCTCAGCTTGGGTTCAAATGATGCAGTTGTTTGTCCTTTTTTTTGTTTTTTAAATCTCTGTCTCTGCTGTCCTGCCATTTTGGACGATAGACTTGTATTGTTCAATCTGCTAATAATTTTTGTGCTAGTGCTATGGCATGATGTTTCGCCCAGCTCCACAACACTGCAAAACGATCTAGAAATATGTAAAAAATTCTTAAGTGAAGTGTATTTACCCTTAGTTTGAGCAGATAAATAACATGATCTGCCAATGGAATAGTATTTTACTCTTAATTCAATTCAATTGAGTTTATTTCTATAGCTCCAATTCACATCACAAATTATCTCAAGGCACTTTCCAGTTCAACCAGATCATACAGTCAAATTGATTCAAAGTTTTCTATCTATGGAAAACCAGTTGATTGCATCGACTCATTCACTCTTCAGCAATCCCTCACACTAAGCATGCTTGTAGCGACAGTGGGGAGGAAAAACTCCCTTTGAACAGGAAGAAACCTCCAGCAGAACCAGGCTCAGTGTGAGCGGCCATCTGCTGAGGCCCACTGGGCCCCAGATGTCTGATATCAATGGTTAAGATATGTCGATACCAATGCCATGTGAATATTAGTATCAGTCTTTAGTTTTCATTTATGGTTTTAGGTTTTTTTTCAGCAAAGGAATTAAATTTCTGTATAGTTTAGAGCAAAAGTTGGCTTGTATTAAAAAAGAAATAAAGCTCACCATGTGTCTTTCCTTTGTAACCGCTCTCCAGACTGATATAGACTTGCATGACAGGGAGACGCTGGATCTGAATTTGCAGACCAAACTTGGCGTAGAGCAAGATATGAAAGGATGAAGCATGAAAAATTCGGATGTCCCCTGTAAAGAAAATAATAGAAATCCTCTGATGTTAAGCTGAAATACTGAGAGGAAAATCCTGAATGAAAAATATATTCCTGTCAGACGCACCTGAGTAGTACGGCAAACTGACTTCATCCCTATTTTGTTTAACTTTACCATCAGATGTAAAAACTATTACCTGGAGAAACACAGAATAATTCATATTGAGCCACGAATATTTGAGTAAATTTGTGAGATTAAAATAAAAATGTTATTCCAGATGTATTTTACTTACATGATCTCTGTCCAGATGGATTTTAAGAGTCTTCAGACAAGTGTCATACTTATCTTGGTCACACGGTCCCAGCTGTGCCCGGATTGTAAAGTTTGGACTTACTCCATCCTAAATTCAATTTAAAGTTTCGGCACAGGATAATCATAGATTTTATTTGCATCTCTACATGATGATGTCTTCTCACCAGTGAATTTTGACTTTGACTTTGTTTGTTTTTACCTTGCTTTCCACCTTAGCCAGAGTATAAAGACAGTTTCCATGAAATGTATAGGTTCTACCAGCGAAGGTTGTAAAATATGAACCTTCTTCAACTGAACAGGTAGCAGGTGTTTCCGAACTCTCACATTCCCACCTCCCCTCTAAACAGGTACTGAAAAATACAAATTGAATAACAACGCTTTCTAAGTAGTTCATTCATGCAGAATCTATTCATATTATGCAAGTTACAAGTACAAACACTGATTAAATTTATTGGGATTAATTAGGATAGATCAAGCCTGTAAATATTTTCAAATTTAACATCTCTTTTCCTAATTTGCTTCTTTCTTTGTTCTCTGTTTCTTTAGTGGACAATAACAGCATGTAAACTGATGTGCTATCTTTTCCTAAACAGTAAAACACACTGAAGGTTCTCTCTGAATCTGTTTGAGGCCCCTAAAGGGACGCTGAGTGTGCGGAGTGGAAGAGGTTAACCGGAGCCAGACAGATGGGGAGCTTTCTACAACAAATTGTTTAAGAAACAAGAAACAAACACCAAACCACAGAGCAGACAAGGTCTCAAAAATATGTAAGCATGTGCATTAAAAAAATGCTAAACCAGCTTTAAGCTAAATTGCATTAAAAGGTATTTAGGTGTTGACTATCACAGCCCTTGTTGCAATAATCATTTCAGTGTTTACATTACCAATCCTGCTACGTGACCTCGTAATTTTAACAAACCCCAAGTATTGATGTAAAAAACACATTTGGCACAGTTTGGTGACATTTTTGGATAAATGTGCCAAAATGGCCCCTCCGCCTAAGAAATTTCTCACTAATACCATTCTAAAATAAATATGATTCATCTGATTGAGTCCAAATTTGGTATATTTTTACACAACATTTAGATTTAAAAGTCTGTACTACTTTTTTTTGCTATAAATAATATTTTGGTAGTGTTTTGCAATGTTTATTTCAAAGAAAATTTTGGCGAGGTTCAAAAAATGCATATTTAGCATTTTGTCCCTAATATTTCAGGCAGGGTCAAAGCTACAATGGTGCTGACACCAGAAAACCATTCTATGACATCTTACCTTTACAGAGGTACCAAAAGTTTCTTCTTAAATCTAATAGCTGTGAGGCTATAAGTGATTTACTTTTGTGTGCTTTTGTCAGGCAGAAATTTATTTATACCCCCTGATGGTGTAAGAGGTTGTGGATTTAAAGACATTTCAAGTAGTGCAAAAATTTACAGGGAGGAATATAAAAAAAGTCTAATCCACCAAAACTTTCACTACCCCCATGCAGTACCTCCGTGGACCGCCTATGGGTTACGGACCCCCTGTTGAAGACCTTTGCCTTAAATTGTAAAAGTATCAACAAGTGACGTGCAAGAATCATTTGAATGTTTCTTCTGTCTTTTTTTTTTATAAGTTAGTATAATCACTAGAATTATTCAAGCCAGATTTTTTTGTTGCTCCCCAAAAGCTTTGGTGCCCTACATGCAGTGCGTGATGTGAGTGAGCATAGCACCAGCAGGGGTCAGATAAACCATTGTGCAACTGGTGAACCACATAAATGGAAAGGAGAGGTCAGACTGAGTATGACGCACTTTTTACGTTAACCTCTATGTGATTACTCTCTTCATTCAAATGCCGTTCCGCCCCCCGCTCTCTAATTATCATTTATCTTAATTACCTGCTACCTCTGCTATATATACAGTTCAGCCCAGCTATCGGGGCCAGATCATTATTTGTTTGTATTCGTGTTAATTATTTGTGTATTCTTAGTTTATTCGTGTCATGTTTTCATGTCAGTTATTCATGTTTGTTTCATTAGTTTTTCTTAAGTTCCTGGTTCTTGTCCTGACTCTTGGAGACCAGTGGAATTAGAGGGTTTATTGTTTTGTCTCCTGATTGTGTCCCGTCTTATCTCCGCTAAGGCCTCAGGGTTTTGGTACAGAACGCCGGAGAGGTCAATTCCCGTAAGCCTGGCTCCAAGGTGAAGACCAGTTTAAAGTTCCACATTTATCCTGGTACCAAGTCTTGTCTCTGTTCCTCTCTACCACTGAGCCTGCCTGTCTCCATCGGAGCATGTCTGTCTGAGCTCGCTGCTTGACTCAGACTCTGAACCTTTCTTCATGCTCTAAGGATTCCTGGAACCCTGGATCTGTCTGTTCCTGCTTGGATTGGAACCGCTGGTAAGGCTATGTACTCCCGGATCTCGGAACTGTCCAATTCTGAACCATTTCTGACCTGGATCTGAGAGGATGGACTGAACTGTTAAACCAGAGTGTCAGTGATTGTGCGGTGCTCCTGCAGCCACTGCGGTCCGCTTATCCTCAGCAGCCCGCTTCCGTTCTGTTCTGTTTTATTATTTTCTGTCATTAAACGTTTTAAAACTCCCCATCACCTCAGTCACCTTGAATACTGCGTCCATCTGTCCAGTTTATGACACTATGGACATATTCAGGTCTATTAGGAAGTCTGCTTTTAATTCAGTATGCCTTACATGATTAATTGAAGGTGATATTTCAGCACCAGTGAAGCAGGCTAGCAACAAAATCCAAAATTGTGGATGATTAGAGCTGGTATACAGTGGAAACAGATTACTGAAAAACCCTCACTTAAAAAAACTATAGAAAAAAAACAAAGGGCTGCCAAAAAATAAAAGTAACAATGAAAAATATCTTGACAGGTAAACGTAATTAAATATTTCAGAAAACTGAGCTAAGAGAAGCAAAAAGGGGGCAAAGACTAAATGTCAGATTCCTATTTGCGACTCCTCATATAAAGGAGAGCTGTATGTCATAAGACTAATATATCATAATATTAATATGAAACATTATGTTTAATGTTATAACATAGAATTTTTTGTAATACTACCTTTCAAAAATGAAACAGACATACCAGTTAGTGTTGTCATTTTGGTAAACCTCTCCGCTGCTGTAGATGTTGTCATGTTTGCACTGACATTCAGACTGAGGGATGCAGCCTTTGTCAGATATATCATCAAACACCGTTCCTGAGGACAAACATAAAGGTAATTTGGTGTGTTGGGGAATCAGTAACGACCAAATACACATTTCCTATGTGAGGAGAACTAACCAGGAGGGCAGAAGCAGCCATCGATTTTGTGCTCCTCACACACTGATCTTGTGTGTGCCTGTGTGCATGTATCCATGCAAGGAAAAACACTTTCTTCATATATCATGTTGTGGGGACAAAGTTTACCTGGAAAGATTAAAGGTGGGATAAATTAAGATGGTACTTCATATGTTTCCAAAATAAATATCAATAGGGAATATTGTTTAATGAAATTTGATGGCTCGTATGGCAAATTGTAGCCTGTATGTTATCATCATAAAAAAAAGCTTAAAAAAACAATTCAATTCAGTTTATTTCTATAGCGCCAATCCACATCATATATCATATCAAGGCACTTTCCAGTTCACCAGATCATCCAGTTAGATTGATTCAAAGTTTTCTATCTAAGGAAAACCAGCTGATTGCATCGACTCATTGACTCTTCAGCAATACCTCACACTAAGCATGCTTGTAGCGACAGTGGAGAGGAAAAACTCTCTAATGGAGTGGATAATTAGGCCAATTATATGGCAGGTAATGGTATTTATGTGCTTGATTTGATAAGTTTTCTCACTTTAAAGGTAGTAAGGAAACTTTTTGGGCATTTAAAGTGTTTGCAAAGTTTCATTCTGGAAATCTAAATGTACCTACCGAATGGACTTGCTTATCAATAAAGCATCTTGGTTGCCTAAATCTCTAAGAGATGTTATGCCACATGCAAAAAGGTGTGAACTGGTTTGAAACAGACTGGGGCATCTGGATTCCTACTTTGTTTTTAAAGCAAAAATTTAAGCCCTCACTTATCAAGTTATTTTTACTCCTCTTAAACGTAATTGGCTTCCTCTTGTCCTCTTTCCAACATCTATCTAATTTGAACCCTCTAAAGACCACCCCTTATCTTTATGGTGATGGTTAAACTCTGAGTCTTTTCCTCAGAAGTGTCTCCCCTGTTCTGAGCCATGCCTCTGGTTATTTAACCTGACAAAATTTACAATATTAATTAACTTTGGATAAAAATTGCTGTAGTTTTCACATTTTGTATCCAAAAAATTTCTCACCATATTATTAATTTGATGAGTTATTAAGCAGGTGGTTGTGTATATGTAGTTACAAATTTTACAAAAAAAATACCACATAAGAAGTGGAACATGAAGCTTACCACAAAAATCTGGTCTCCTCCAGTTTGGAGGCTGTCCTCCTGCATGGGAACACTGACGAGAAAACTCAGATATTGTGCTGCAGAGACATGATTCATTGCTGGGGTTGTTACAGGTGCACATGTCAATCACACAGGCCTGGATAAAACCTTCAAGGCTAATCAGCTGGGTGCATGAACTCCAGGAATCTGAGGAAAACTTTTCCCTACAGACGGTTTCCTGCAAGGGGTAAATATCATTTGAAATTAATGCAAAAGTTAGCACATCATTACTGAATACATTCAAAAAAAATTTAGTTAACACTAACTTACAAATTGTTTGCATGACTCAGTCCTATTCTTTGCCTCCTCTGACTCATTGTCTTCAACAGGGAGGTTTTTACATTCCTCATTTGGTAGATGGACTTTGTATTTGTTTCCTAATTCAACTGAGCTGATTTTCAAAACCTGGTCATGGTGATGAAGAAGAACAAAAAAGAACATTTAAGGCATATTTTTCACCTCTAATGCACTGCTATCACCAAAGTAAAATACAAACCATTTTCCATGAACTCATCATAGACCGGAACACCATTGAAGTCTCCACAAAGTCCACAAGTACGGTTAAAGTAGTTGTTGGAAATTTCCACCTGAAACACAAAGCAGGGATCATCATGTAACGTGTTTTATTCATTTATATCAGAAAGAAAACATTAACAGTTTGACTCCAGTGTTAGGTAACCAACCATCATTTTATGGTAATTATTCCAGAAAGTTGAAACAATATTTAACTGCTAATATTTTTAAATCTCTGCAGAGATAAGTTATTGTATTCACACAAACAGCAAATCCGTTTCTTTTAACCCTGATCTCTAACCATCTACTTTATATAACCAATCAGTCAAAAAGATCAAATTATTTGGATAAAGTCTGAGTGAAAACAGAAAAGCGTTTACCGTGACTGAATCTTCACGGTTCCAAATCACAGTTACGCCAACTTTGGAAGCTTGAACTTTGATGTAAAATGCACTTTCTTCTACCTTAACCCCCCCACTATAGTGGGGCAGAATGACTCTGAAAAAAAAAAATGTTTTAAATGATTAAAAAGAAAATACACAATCTACATAAATATTTCTATGTATATATTTTGATAAGGGTGTCTTTGTTGCATGAGGAATTTATACTCACGGTTCCTCATTTTCAGTGACTTCATCCTTTTTCAAGTCGAATGTATTTTCAGTGATGGTCACCTCAACATGACTGATTGTACTATTTCCATCATTTTCTTCTCGTCTGATGTTCACAGAGAACTTCCTGTTGGATTCAGAGCAGTCTTTCACCAGGGTGTACTCACACAAGCCTGGAAACTGATACACTTCACCATCAAAGGTCTTGAAGTGCTGCCGGCCCCAAGTGCTGCAGATGTTGTCGACATGGTTGTAAGCTGGAAACACAGAAATTAAATAGAGGTTTTCATCATTATTTCTATTTACAAATTCTTTGAAAAAATTTTTGGCAAAAAGATTAAAAATTCTAGCAAGTGATAGACATTATGTAGATTGGAAGATTGCCATTGTAAGATTAGAAATTTCAAGACAACCGTACAGTTAGAATATAAATCATTTCAGTCTTACCCAGTTTTGCCTGGATTTCAACAGACGAACTGAAGAAACAAAACCACAGCAGACCCCACTTCATGGCTGCCACTGTGGGCATGCTGTCTCAAAGCAGAAACTAATGAGGCTGAAGCAAAACGTCCTTTTATATCAAGAATGGTTGCTATTTTATCCCACCTTTTGATAACTATTGGTCTGATGCCAAGATGATAAATATTGTCAGTATGATCATCTGATCTTATCACAAAGACTGCGTTGTCTTGATCAAACATCAAACTCCTTTCCTCACACCTAGTCCCAGAATTATGTTGACACAATCTCCAGGAGATGCAGAGGAGATAATCTCTGCATGAGTTCTTAATATTTTGTTTCTTTGTGCTTTATCCTTAATTGATGACAGATAAATATCTTTAGTTCGGTAGACCACCAAAGCTTAAGCCCAAAATTGGTAAAATGTAAAAAAGTGGCATAGTTAAAACTGATGAACTGATATTTTGTAAGACAAATAAGCGTAGAACCAGTTTATTTTTGCAATCGGTTTCAAATAATGAGAAACACTAAAGGCGATTTAAGGTTTGTCAGTGTATAGTGAAACCTACAATTTATTAAACATTTAAAAAATTTTTATTATTTTTGATCAGAACCTGTCATTTAAATCCCAGATCAAAGAGGTTTCTAGAATTTCCTTCTTTCATCTGAGGAACATTGCAAAAATTAGAAATCTCCTGTCCAGGGGTGATGCTGAGAAACTATTCCATTCATTTGTTACTTCAAGGCTGGACTATTGTAATTCTTTACTATCAGGAAGTCCACAAACTGTAGTTAAAAGCCTTCAGCTGATCCAAAATGCTGCAGCCAGAGTTCTGATGAAAATGAAAAAGAGAGATCATATCTCTCCTATCCTGGCTTCTCTTCATTGGCTTCCTGTTAAATCCAGAATAGAATTTAAAATCCTCCTTCTCACATATAAAGCCTTAAATGGCCAAGCTCCATCTGATATCAGAGATCTGATTGTTCCTTATGTTCCTAACAGAGCACTTCGCTCTCAATCTGCAGGTTAGGACATAGGGACCCCTTTTTCATCATTCTGCTTCATTCTATCTCTATTCTCTCACTCTGGGCCTGGCTGTGTGTTTCCTGGGAGTTTTTCCTCTCCACTGTCGCTACAAGTGTGCTTAGTGTGAGGGATTGCTGAAGAGTCAATGAGTCGATGCAATCAGCTGGTTTTCCTTAGATAGAAAACTTTGAATCAATCTGACTGGATGATCTGGTGAACTGGAAAGTGACCTGAGATGACATGATGTGAATTGGAGCTGTAGAAATAAACTGAATTAAATTGAATTTAATTTCCCCAAAAGGGATTAATTAAAGACACTTCATATCCTAAAGTTAAAAACATGCATCTCTCTCATTTTAAACCTGAACAAGTTCAGAATTCTCCTTTGTGGACATCGATTACCTCAAAGTTTCTGAGTAGGTATAAGTAAATACGGTAAAAGTAAAAAGTTTTAAGTAGTTACATTTTCTACAGCATTGATGTCATGATGTAAAATGTGTAGGTACTTAAAACTTAAATACTCTAACTTATTTACTCAAAACTTGGAGGTTTCCACAAAACATTTGGGTTTTCTGAGCTATTTGGTTTTTTTTCTTTTGGATTGCTTTGCATTAACAAAATAATTCAAAAATAAAGTTTAAAACAACATGAAAAACAATTATTGAGTACTTTTATACAATTTTACAAAAATAGAAAAAAAATCATTCTAATTTCTTAAAGGGAATTTGTAAAAAAAAAATCTGTTTAAATATTTTATACAAAGGAATTATTTTGTAAATTATGGATTAAAAGCATAGATCAGCAAACTCTTAGCAGTTATTTCTAGGAGTCCCTGGTTTATCAACTCACTAATCGTAGATATTTTCAATGTTCAGAGTAAGAATAAGGACAATGTTCTTTGTGCCATGTTGCTCAAACAAATTTCTGTTGGCAAAGAAAGCAGATGTAAAATACAGATGCGGTCTCAGTTTGAAGTACATAACCCAAAGCCCTTGGCTTGTAAAGGTGTTTGCATTCATTGTTTGGCTAAAGGGAAGGATTTGAACAGGAACAAACCCCAGCAGTGGGCTGGTAAACAGGGAGCCGGTTATTTGGAACAATTTTAAGATTCAGACAACTTAATCTACTAACTGCAACAACCATTTTAGTAACCAACATATTTTAGTAGTAATTAAGCTAAGAACCATCATCCAGCTGTGTTATGAGTTAAATTTTGTAAATGATAAAACATGAACTTTCTGATTTAAAAAAAGTGTGCACCTATTCAATAATTGAAGCAAGATTTGGATAGAATAGCCAATAATTGTATTTATTTGTATAACTCTAAAATATCCTGTCTGGCAGTGCAGTGCTCAGAGCTGTTGTCTAAATGCAAAGGAGAGGGCAAAAGATTTCTTTTCACCGTGGAGCGTTACTCCTTTCACTATAATCTCTCACTTGATATATATGCATGTGAAAAACAAAACTTTATAAATAAATTTCCTGTGGAATTTATCACAATGCAATGAACATGGACACAGACAGAAAGGAAGAGAAAGTGAAATAAAAGATGACCTCAGGAGATAAAAGCAGGATACAGAAGCAGACATTCAAAATGGCTCTTCCAATTCAAAATCCAGCCTAATGGCAACAAAATCCCCTCTAACTTCCAGCCACTGGCCTTCTCCTGCACATGCATATTTTTTTCCTCTGACTCCGCCCTTTCACTGAATTACAGGGTCTGACCTAGGGATGGGAATCGAAAACCGGTTCCTGTTCAGAACCGGTTCCGTATTTTCCGATTCCATGGCATCGTTTGGCAGCTCGCTGAACGATTCTTTTTTCGATTCCCGCAGCACCAGAGCCTAGAGCGCCGGCTCTGGGGAGCACGACTTACGTCACGTATTTTTAGGTACGTTACGTAAGTTACGTAAGTTACGCAAGTTACGCAAGTTGGAAGAACTATTCGAGGAGGAAGACAACGAGCTGCGGTCACTTTGTGAATCAAAGCCCCGTCTTTCCTTAGCCCAGAGGGTAGATCAGGAAATCCAGCTCTATAAAAGCTTGCCCTCCATCCCCTGCAGGGATAGCGCCACACTGTGGTGGTGGAACAAGCAAGATGTGCTGCCCTTGCTATCTGGACTGGCTGAAAACTACCTCTGTGTGCAGGCTTCCTGCACCCCATCTGAGAGGGTGTTCTCCATGGCTGGAGACACCTTAAGCGCTGAAAGATCCCGTATCCTTCCAGAAAAAGCAGATATGCTCATCTTTCTGCAAAATAACTGTTAATTTTCCCTACTACTGTTTTATAATTAGTATTTTTTGTTATTTAAAATAGGTTATTATCCCATCATTTGTTATTAGACATTGTTGGTTATTAAGTTTGTTCTTGTATTAATTTTTCATTTAAACACAGATGTTACTCCAGTTTCACATTTCCTGTGGACATCTTGATCTTGTTGATTTTGTAAGATTGTGCAATAGTTAAGTAAACACAGTTGATGCTGATAATCAAACTGTTTGTTCTCCTTTTTTCCCCAAATTGGAATCGAAAAAAGAATCGATAAAGAATCGAATCGTTTCATAGAATCGAAAAGGGAATCGGAATCGTGAAAATCTTTTCAATTCCCAACCCTAGTCTGACCAGGAGATGACGCTTCTCTTTAGATCTTAATGTCCACAAATCATGAAAGAAAGAATATTTTAGATGTTTAATTAAAAAGGAATTTTAGGGGACTAGCCAAGGGAAGTGGGAAAATTTTAAATGGCTATTACTGTAAGAGGCCATCTTAAAATCTGCTGCTCTGTCGGGTTCATAAAATGTAGGTTTTTTTCTTAAGAAGAACTGAAATACAGACTTATGGATACAATTCCTGCAGGAAGGAGAGACAGTTGAACCCTAGACTCAAACACACTGTCTCCCACTGGACCTCCTCTGCAGAGTGTTTATTAACAGAACATGACGCATGGTTACAAACAGAGTATTGTTCTGACAGAACAATTGATCAGTTCATGAAGACAGAATGCTCCATCAGAATGACGAGGCAGGAGGGTCTCCTGACTGGATCAAGAGACACGAGTGGAGCATCCCCTTGCACAAATGTTTCATAAGCACACATTAATTTTATAATCATCATTGAATAAACCTGACATCTCCCTCCTGTTGTGCATATAAACATTAGCATGTAGCACTTCTAAAAAGATTTTCACTACACACATCATAAATGCATTGCAGATAGGGAATTCAGTAATCAAAGAATGAAAATGTAAAACTTAAGCAAAAATGTAAGATTTATCAAGAATGTAAAAAGCTTCAAAAATCTGTCCCTTGAGTAGGAAAACCCTCTTCAAATCTTCAACTCATCCAGAGTGGTCTGTATGAGTACAAACATAACAGTCCGTTTTATTCAAACCTTCAGCAACGCGACAACATATTGACACCACAGGGATGACTTGCTGTGGATCCATCAAAAACCATTCTGGTTTTTCCTTTGTTTCTGGCGGTCAGTCTGAGTCCCTAAGAGCACCAGTCCAATGGTCATCATCAGGCAGCAGAGCCACTTTAGTTTTCCCATCTTCAACAGTCCCTCCAAGGAAGCACCCACTAACCAGGACCCTAAAGGATTGGGTTAGGTTGGTTTCTTCAACAGCGTTGAGACGAAAAGCTCTAAATTGCTTAACCCCTTTGTAGCTGGGCTTCACCACAGATCCCTACCTTAGTCGTGGGGTCCCTGTGAAGGTAACTGGGCTTCTTGCTGAGGAAGGTCTTTAATCAGCTTACAATGACTCTGGGGAATCCAAGTGTGTCTTTCTCCTGGATCTTCACAGCGGTTGGAGTTGCTAGTTGCACAATGTAGGGTCTTTCACACCTAGGAACTGCCCAATTTTCCCCTTGATGATTTTAATCAGCACTCGGTCTCCAGGCTTCAGGCCTTCCTGTAGGGAAAATAAAAGGAGCTCTGGGGCAGATTACATGTTTTTCGCAACATGTGAGACATGCTCTGCAAAAATTTTTAAAGTAGTTATTTAATCCTGCAGTGGGATAAAATACTTGTACTATAGTT